AAATTCAGGTTGGTACGGATTTAAATGGGAAGATTTTAACTGCATTTATTTTAAGAAATTTTGACCAATTTTCTCGGAATAGCTCGTTTAATTCGTCTAAGAAAATAAGATATTTGTTTAGGAATCTCAAGCGACAGTAAATATTGCCTTGGGTTAAAGCGGAAGCGACCGTAGAGCTTGGGCATAGAAATGCCTAGCGATACTAAATAAAGGTTTCGTATTGTTTTGGACAAATTCTGAACATTACTTGTTGTTCTGAGTGAGTTTGAATTTCATTGAGTTTACATGTAAGTTAAGTCAAAATAGGTTTACAGTATAATAAAAATTGAACTTATCCAGTAAATTGCAGTGGACCAAAATCTGTTATGTATTCCATTTAATTCATTGGTTATTCTAATTTCTAATTCCTGTGAATTCCATGAAACTCCAAGCTAACAGGAGAACCATGGAAAAATCGGTGGAGTAGTTTCTATATGGAATTGCATGGAACTGTTTCCTGGAATTACATGGAAAATGTCCTAATCCTCCATGGAATTTCATGGAGAATTTTCCATGGAACTCCATGGAATTCCGAGGTTTTTCACACGGGTGGCACTAGGTGTCCCATGAGCCCAGCAAAAACCGTAGTATTGAGGAATGTAATGATTCCGTGTCGCACTGGCAACATTTCCCATGCCTGGGACAGATCTCCAATCAATCTCCTTAGGCATGTCTTCAGGGTCCACTGATATGAATGAGGACGTGGAGTTTTTCTGTAGTATACGAGTTAGATATATAATATATTTTAAGTTGTACCGATAAAAAAACGTTTTCATTAGTTGCCTGAGAATGCAGGTGTATGTACAGTGTACATGAATGGTCTTAAATACACAAATGTATAATCTAAGATTTCTGAAATTACAATTTAATTGCTCACTAAATGTAGTTCTCGAACACTTGTCAATTATCTTGACTGTAGTTGCTTAAAGTTTTCCACTACATGTACGCATGAGAAACTGGTCCACAGGTGAGAGTTGGTGTGAGATCATAGTTTTCGATCTTAGTTTGACAATTAATCAGTAGCGTTCAGTGAATTTGCCATTTACATTGTTGGGGATTCGAGATAGAGGTATTAGTGGTGAAATAAAATTTAGTCTCTTATACAACAAAATATATTTAGATATTCTCGACTGAGGTACGAGATGCAGACTCCCGGGGGGGGGGGGGGACAGACTCTCCGGTGCCGTTTTTTTTGACTAAAAGTTCTCTAAAAAAAAATGCATTGCAAAAAAAACAAATCAAATGCCAAACAATTAAAATTGCAACACTTTTAAAAAAACCTCCGAGAATAAAAAAATTAAAAGCTTTTTTTTAAGCAACATTAACAGAAAATCAAA